ATATATTGCAGAGCATGGTTGTAGTGCATGCCTGGCCTTGCCCAATCTGTCTTTTTAATCCTTAAATTCTCACTCCTTGCACTGTTTATTTTCTTTTGTTGAAATTAAGGGGGAAAAAAAGCTGGAAGAATCTCAAGTCGGTCCTGCATTGGGCATTTGCACCAAAGTAATAGTGTACTACAAAATAGTTTCTTTGAAACCTTTTGGGAGAAAGTACCATAGCCCCTAGGCTAGCGTGATTTATGGCCAAGGGAAAAACGTGTAGAGAGATTTGTGCTGTGCTATAGGCACTGAGACTTATCTCTGTGAAATAGAAAATTTATAAAATAATTTTCCTCTTGTTTCTAGGAATAAGTTAACACAGGGATGTTTGTCCTGTCTTTTTTGGTAGAAGGCATTTTCAGTGGTAGATACCTCTAAGAGTGTGATCTGGCTGCTGTTTGGCTTGTTTCTGTGCCTGTCTTCAACAGAAAAGCCCATCTCAACAAACCACTGGAAAACTAAAATCAGAAACTTTCTTGGAGGGGTGTTCTGGTTTTTAACCATTTTTGCCCCAAGAAGTATTTTCTCCTGCTTAATTCCCTTCCTACGTTTCCTGGCTGTGGCCCCTCCACACAGACCTCAGTGTGCCTTAACGGGGCAACACGACCCATCTGCCTTGCCCTTCAGGCAGGAGCGGCTCTGTGGGACGAGGCCTCTGCCCGCAGCGTGGAGGCCTCCCTCAGCACAGCGGCCTGGCATGTTTTGTGTGTGCGCTCTGCTTGCCCCGGGTGGGAATCAGAAAGTGCCGCTTGATTTTGCCCTCCTGCATGGCTCGCAGGGTACGAGTCTCATCCGTCCTCTTGGTTAGCGGCTAGGAGAGCTAGAAGAGGGTGTTGGAAGTGCTCTGGCCTGCCCTGCTCTTCGGCCAGGGCCTGTGGGCAGTCCTGTCTTCTGGGTTATTGAGTGTATTGGTTTGTATTTGGTCTCCCAGACCCAAGCAGAGCTCCTGCTGTAAACACGTCAGTGTTGTGTAGTTAGAAAGCTGTCAGCTCCATGAAAGATGTTACAATAGCTTTCAAAGCATTTAGATAAACAGCCCTTTGATCCTCAGTGTTCCAGGGAGCTAAAAGAGATGCTCTTGTAGGGGAAATGCTTTCCTTTTAGCTGCTGTGAGTGCCTGTCCGTGGGTGCGTTCGCAAGCTTTGAGTTGGAGCAGGTTAGCAGTGAGCAAGAAGGTGAGGGATGGACAGTGATATCCTCAGGTTAGAGTCCTCCTCCTTTTTTTCTGTTTTCTTTTTTTTTCTTTTTCTTTTAAAATTGCCAAATATTTTATCTGTTTCTAGATCCAAGGAGGGGTTATTTAGCCCTTCTGCTTTCAGCAGCACGGTCCATTGCAAAACAGGCACCGGGCGAATTCACAGAAGAGCTCATTTTGCCCAGTGCGATTGTGCTTTCCAAGGGTGCCTTTTTCTCCAGTTCCCACCAGCCTAGCTCCTATCCCCCTGCCTTGCTTAGCGCGAGGGCGGCGCTGAGCGAAGTGTGTGCTGCTCCGGCAGGCGCTTCGCTTTCCTGCGTATGGCTGGCTCTGGGAGTCAGCAGCTGCATCCTGAGCAGGATTAAAGGAAGAGCCAAGATCTGACAGCTGTGAAGTCCTCCTGGCTTTCTCGGCAGAATTTTTGAAGCATTATTTATGGGAGTTTTGCTATTAAAGCCTCTTAAGAGGTTTTTAAACACTGCTTTCTCAATCCTCATCTCCATTTCATGCATTTCAGCATTTTTTTTCCTTCCACAGGAAAATATCTTTCAGTCCCCAAAGGGCAGATGGATAAGACTGAATGAAAGGATTTCCGAATTCTTCTCCCATGGTGGGAATTTTTCAGGCTGGTGTTTGAGGATAGTGGGATCCCCTCATATGGCCCTGCTGCTTAGGCAGGCAAAGGGGAAAGCCTCAGAGCGTTTTGGAGTTTCAGTTTGGTGATTCCTGCACTGGCTGTGCCAGTGCTCACAGCTCCCGGTCTTTCCATTGCACGCACAGAGACTGAGCCTCAGAGCTACTGGTTCCAGCCAAAATTGTCATACAGATTAATTAAAAGCAGCAGAACATCAAGAGGCTTACAGTCCTATGAGCTTTTTAAAATAAAGTTTTGCAAGTGAATCTTCATTTTTACCTCTGTGAGGAGTGTGGGGGGAGAAGAGTCATGCCTCTCCCCTACCTGAAGGAGTCCCTATTTCAGTTTAGCTACTGTTACTTTCCGAATAAACTTCCTTTCCTGGGATGATTAAAAAAATGGACTGCACAGGGCCTATGACTTGCTCGCTTAACACATCTTAGGCAAACAGACAAGCCAGTGTCTTCAAGGTGTCTTTTCCTGTAGGTTTCAAGCTATTCTTTGGTTATTCCCCTCCCCACCATGTGGTAGTGTTGTGTCACACACTCCTCAAAATGCTTTCGTACCCAGTGAGCTGTATTGTCCCATGAGCACTTGTGCTTTTGGATGTCACCTCAGTACCTTCTTTAAAACACTCTTGATAAAACTGCCTGAACTGTTGTCTTCTAGTGTCCTAGGGTCACGATGGCACTTTGTAAGGGGACGGTGTTGGCCCTACAGGAGACTCATGTGCTGCAGATGGTCCCTTCTGCCACCAACTCTTCTCTGTGACCTTAAGCAATTCATCCAGCTTTGCAGGGTTTTGGTTCTCCACCTGTAACATGGTGTAATTATAAAGATGAGCCATGCAGACTGATCATCATGTATGTACATTAAATGCTCAGATAGCAATTTGAAAGTTATACCAGAAGTGTATAAGTAAAATAAATCCTATTCTGGAATAGATTTCCTAAAGCATTGCAAAAGTCTGTTGTTTGCACAGGTGAGAGAGAGAGCAACTTTGCCTTTAATTGTTAAAATACAACTAAAATTCTTTATTTAAAGGCTTTTGAAGTATATAGTATATTCCATATGCCTCTTTTGTCCAGTCCTGTCTGTCTTGACATGGTTGGGTCTGTGTAGACTCTGGTCAAATAATGAACCTACCCTCTGTTCTCCTGAGCTTGCTCTCATTTTAGTGTCCTGTTTTCACTGATTTATGCAAAGTCAAAAATGATTCTCTGTAAATGTTCTCAAATGTTGAGGAGTGAGGGGGCGGGGAGGGGAAGAAATACTGAAATATGTGTGCAGTTTTTCTCCTTTCTTTAGGCAGGAACAAACGTTCAGTTTAGTACCAAACAGTATCTTCAGGAATTGTGTACGATTCTTCCCATATCCTCCCAGCATTTAATCATCCTTCTTGCGCTTTAAAGTTTTTCCAGCACTACCCATCCTCTTCTTTCTTTCGTTTTAACTTGTCTTTTGTATCTTCCCCATGTGGCTTTCCTAAGTAATGCTGTCTGCTTTACAGTTTACACTCTCAGTCCCAGAGGCTGTTGCTATTGACTCTGCCATTTCCTCTTCTTTCCTTTTCTTTTACCTTTTTTTTTTTCTGTAAATGAGTTTCACTTTCACCAGCCATTTGTGGTGATTGATTGTAGAGAGAAGTTAAACATTATATGAAATCTTTCTAACCTAATGTGTTTATGTCTCATCTATCTCTAAAGCCTTTTCCAAGCTAGCTCTACAATGGGAGGAAAGCTCCATTTTCTTCTTGAATCTGTCTAAATGTGTAAGTGGCATGCAATGTGCTGATTTAGGGGCACCTTTTTCATGGCATGGGTAGAATAGACAACCAGGAGCTGGTTCAGGAGAGAAGGGGGGTTTGAAAAACAATGTGCATCTCCAAGAAGAAAGATAACTATCAGAAATACCGCATGAACTCTAAGACAGTTACTCCCCTTTTTTTGTTTGTAAAAATCATTCTTTTTCATACTAAGAACAGATACCATTTCATGTGTTTTAATAAACACAAAGTTGTATAGCTTATTTAAAAGAGCTAGATCTCATCTCCCCCTTCCTTTCCTGTAGGTTTGTAACACCACCACCGATCGGAAACATGCAGACACGTCTCTGGAGAAATACGTTACTGAGCCAGTGATGAACATTGTGAGTGGCTTCTTCAATTCTCCGTTTTCAGATAACAGCACCAGCCTCCAGGTAAGGAAAAGGGAGACAGACAAATATGTAATTGGGACACTTAATGAGATACCTTCTACTAGGCAAGTAGGAATGCTGTATCTTTATATCCTCCTTTAGTTTCTCTGTCTCCTCTTATGCCGCTGGCTAGCAGCTTAATTCCTCTTTTAAACACTTAGCCTTAACTTTTACCTCCTACAACTCCGAAGCAGCAGGCAGCTCAGTGTGATCAGATTTCTCCCTGGCTGTTGTGAATTCAGTGGAGGGGGATATCTTTGCAGAATCAAGGTCTTCATTTGTACTTTCATGAGAAAAAATGCCAAAAGGGACATGAAGCTGAGAGCCAGGAAGATTCCTCAGTCTTTCTGTGTTATGCTGTGTTTGCTTGACATTGGTGGTGATCTTACCTGAGGAAAAACAGCATGATTGGACATTTTTAAGGGTGCAGAAGTTCCTTCCTGTCCTGAAGAGCAAAGAGCATTTAACTGAGCTGCAGTTTAAATACACGAGATGAAAAAAATCATGCATTTTACGATGTGTCAAACCCTGGGGCAGTTGTGAGAAGATTCTAACGCATAAAATTCCATGTTTATCTTTTTGTTTTTAGACACATCAGCCTGTTTTTATTCAGTTGCTGCAGTCTGCTTTTAGAATTTATAACTGCACCTGGCCAAACCCAACTCAGAAAGCCTCCGTGGAGTCATGTATCAAAACTTTGGCTGAAGTAGGTAGGTACCAGGTTTTACTTTAATTATTATATTCTCTGTGTTTCGAGATCAGACTTGCTTGAGGTTGAATGGTTGCTTCTTTTGACTGTAGCATCTTGCAATTGGGACACTGGTAATAGAAGAAATCCCACTTTCTCAGACTGAAATGTTCACCCTTTTAACCTGTTCAAATCTGTCCCATCCAATAAAGCTGTTTAGGTAAACCTATAGGCTGGAGAAGTGGATTTGCCAAGCTCTGTGATGACCCTAAGCAAGAGAAGATAGTAAGCACGACATAAGCTTCTCAGCACTTGTGAGAAGTGCAATGCAGGGGGACTGTGCAGCAGAGAGTGTTCATCATGTTTTCCCTTTGGTTCCTGGGAGAAGTATTTGTTTTTTCCAGCCAGGGTCCTGGACTTGTTGAAGTTTAGTCCCGTCAGCTAGTTGGTGGGAGGGAAAACAGAATTGTGCCATCCATGGCTTCCCTGGTTACTCTTCAGTCCCCGCTTAAGGAAGAAGAGATCAGGCCTGCTCATTTACTGCTGGTCACGCTCAGCCCTGTCAAGTGCTTATTCTCATGTACCGGCACCAAAACGACACTCAGATTTGGTTTGTAGGCCAGTGATTAAGTTACATGCTTTAAATATATTCAAAAGTTGAAGACCTTAAAACTCTGCTGCAGGAGTGATTTAATCCTAAAATAAAAAGATTCTTAACGATTATGCAGCTAGGACTGGCAAAAGTTCATTTGAAAGATTAAATTTCTGCAGATACAAATTTAAAATCTTCTCCATGAGAGAAAAAAAGGAAGAAAAAGATCAATATAGTTTCCAGAAGTGATCATTTTGCTTATTAACAGAATAAGGTTCTGCAATGTGAGTCAAAACTTGTAGAGGCAATCAGAGATGTGCAGAAACTCCCTATGTGCTGCAGTTGATGCAATTTTAAAAATGTTTTAATAACTAAAGATGAGACTATGAGTGAGTCCCTTTACCATCTGTGGCATTGCAGCAATCAACTCCAAATGCAAACTTTGGAATGGCTTTACAGGGCTTAGCATTTTAGCCAGAAACATCTCATTAACATTTTTTGTGCGAATGAGAATGGCGGTTACCCAAAAACTTTGCAACTCTCGAGTGTTTTATTTGTTGAGCAGATGATTTAATTAGAACTCTATCTGGCAAGAGGACTATGCAAGCTGAGGGCATTTTCTCTCCTTTAAGCTTCATCTGCTGCAGTTTGAAAGAGGCTCTAGTCCTACGCATTCTTGCTCCTATGGATTTTTATGGATTTCTGGCTTGGGCCCTGCCACCTCCTCAGGGGCTGTCTTGTCCGGTGGGTCACGGCGGGTCCCTGAGCCCTGCTGCCTCAGAGCTGCTCCCTGGCACGTGAACTGCCTCTTTCCTTGTGGTATCACAGTAACTCTTCTAGGATTTGTCACTCCTGTCACCATTGAGCCCTGTGAAATTATATACTGCATTAGCAAACTGCCACTTGCTATGTGGGGGAAAAGGGAGGAAAACTGCTGAACTGCCAGAAGAGAAAGGTAGTTAGAAAAGAGGTGAAAAATCAAGCAAAAGTTGAGGAGCAAAAGTTGAGCTGGTTGTTTGAGGTGTTAACCTAATATGTTGTCCAGGGTCTTTCAGACATGGCACCAAACCCGGCCTGCCGAGGCTAATTGCAGAGGCCTGTTCCGCCTGCAGAAAGCTTCGGGAAAACTGCCCTGGCTGGGTTTTCTTTCCCTTTTAAGTGCTTTTAAAATCAGGGCCCTCCTAATTAAGGCACGTACTAGGTGCCTTTGCCTGTTGGGCATCGCACCAGTGCAAATGGTGCTCTTTGGGAAAGCAAAGGTTTCTTCCATAACACAAATAGGCCAGCCTTTTTCCTGCCTCTTGTTCCAGCTGTGTAAGTGGACGAGGTTTGGATTTTGGCTAGGCATCTGTGAGCCCTCTTCTGATATATACATTTTTTTCCTGAGAGTCTGACAGCTTTAATGTTAGGGCCTTCATGTTTCACAGCAGGGTTTTTTAAAAAAAAAAAAAAAAACTCTAGAAAGATTTTGCCTATATCAGAGAGACAGAGTATTGGACAGATTTACAGCAGGGACCAAAGACTTTTGATGGAAAATAAATGTAGTATGTAGTTGAAAGAACAAACATGATTTTTTTTTTTTATGGTAGCCCTGGATTCAGAAATGAATCTCAGCCGGAAGAAAGACGATACACAGATTTCCCA